ATCACCAGGTCAGAATGCCTCTTCCTACCATTCTCCCATTGAAGGGGGTCGTGATTTTCTTGAAGTATGAATGGTAATTTGGGAAGAGAATAATACTTAGATCTTTTGCGACATTTGAGATATAAATCTATTTGATACTCTTTGGAATTCTAAATGGAGTTTACAACCAAAATGGTGTATTTGGCATTTCATTCTCTTCCATATACTTAAATCCAGGATTTAATTATTATTATTTTTTTTTAGTCTAGAAATTTACTTAGACATGATAACTCATTTATGACTGAATTGATCTTTAAAAATTTAGTTTTGGTTAATTTATACAAAGTAAGTATCAAGGAGTGGGGAGTTATGCTCTGCCTCCTGGAGGGCAGAGTATCTACATACATTATTTGGAATTCTGTGTGGGGTATTTGTTCTTCTCTGTTTATTTATTCAGGCCTTTATCTACATCAGGAAGGACTCCTGGATTACTTTAGTCCACTCAGGCTGCTGTCACAAAATACTGCAGGCTGGGCGGTGTAAACAAGGGCGTTTATGAGTAACAGTCTGGCATTTCTGAGGGTGGGAGGTCTAAGGTCATTGCACTTGCTTACTTGGGTGAGGGCCTTCTTTTAGGTCATGGACTTTTTATATCCTCACGTGGCAGAGGGTCTAGGGATCTCTGGAGCCTCTCTATAAAGCCATGATGTGGGTTCCCCCCTAACCATTTAAGTTTCCCCAGAGGCTCTACCTAGTAATGCCATCACTTTTGGGAATTAGGAGTTTAACATACGAATATGGAGGGGCAGGACACCTACATCGGAACCATAGCATGGATATTATTTTATTTTTTGGAGTATTATCCAAAACTGCTTTATTTTGTTACTCAGATGGTTCCGGGTGTGAATCATTGGGAGAGCCTTCAATCAACTTTTGTATCCTTTTGGCATATCCCATCATTTTGTGTGTTTCACATGTACACACACGTAACCCTTCTTTTATGGAAATAAGATGCTCCGAGCTCATCATATATTTTGTGGACTTGTTTTAGACTCCCCCATTTCTCGACGCAGCTGAGGTTTCTTTTACTGGATAGTGGTATCAGAGTCCGGGAGCTGGTCCTGGTGTGTTGTTGCTTGTAGGTCCTCTCTGCTAACAAGCAGGAAGATGACTGTGTGTACTGACCTGAGCCTGTACGGAGTCTATCTCCCGGTAGCCGTCCGTATCCGTATTCAGCTAAATATGAGTTCATATGGACGTGTCAGGCTCTCATCTGTTACCCTGTCGACTTTTCTAGACTCCTTTTGTTTATATCTAACCTCCAACTCTACCACTGAGAAGCCTTGTTCCCACCGTCTACTTATTTAATTGTTCAGCTTCACTGTACATGAATAGTGATGTGAGAATTGTTAAACTCTACCTGCCGTGAGACAACTTTGTCGACTACAGTGCAGTGATTGCTTCCAGCCATACAGATTCCACTCATTTCTAAGCTTACTCCGGTCAGCACCTTACCCCCCACCCCCCTAAGGGATGTTGTTTTGTATATTTGTCATACGTTTAGATTCTTTTTCATAACCTGCCTTCCATTCTGGGATGGCCTGACTTTCTAAACGGTTTCTTAAAATTTTATAGCGTCTGTGGGTTTTGGCAAACACACAATGTCACTCATTCGCCATTACGGTATTGTATGGGATCAGTTCACCACCCTAACATATGCACTCTTTCAGTCCTTCATTCAGTCAGTCTTTCTCCCTTCCCCTCAGGCATCTAGCAGCCGACAATCTTTTTACTCTCTCACTGTAGTTTTGGCTTTACCAGAATGCTGTATAATTACAATTACATAATATACAGCCTTTTCATACTTGCTTTGTGTACTTAGCAATATGCATTTAAGCCTAATCATGTTTTTCAGGGCTTAACTCCTTTCTCTCTCTTTTTTTATTTTATTTCTTTTCTTAAGATTTTATTTATTTATTTGACAGAGATCACAAGTAGGCAGAGAGGCAGGCAGAGAGAGAGGAGGAAGCAGGCTCCCTGCTGAGCAGAGAGCCCCATGCGGGGCTCCATCCCAGGACCCTGAGATCATGACCTGAGCCGAAGGCAGAGGCTTAACCCCCTGAGCCACCGAGACACCCTCTCTATTTTTTAAAAAAGATTTTTATTTATTTATCAGAGAGAGAGAGAGAGAGTGCATACGAGCAGTGGGGAGGGGCAAAGGAAGAGGGAGAACCAGACTCCCTGACGCGGGGCTTGATCCCAGGACCCTGAGATCATGACCTGAGCCGAAGGCAGAGGCTTAGCAGACTGAGCCACCCAGGCGCCCCTTGTTAGCTTATTTCTCTTTATTGCCAAATAATACATAATTGCACAGATTTCCCTCCACTCCTGTCTCCCCTTGCCTGTTGCAGGACTGCTTTGGTACTTTCGGTTTTGGATGGCAGTGAGTAAAGCTGCTGTGAACATTGACACGCAGATTTTTGTGTGCACATAAGTCCTCAAGTCAGTTGAGTAAGTACTTAGTAGTGTGATTTCTAGGTCATAGAGTAAGATTCTAGTTAGCTTTATTAGAAACTGCCAGACAGTCCAAAGTGACTGCCTTTTTGCATCCCTATTAGCAGCGAGTGAGAATTTTTGGTGCTCCATATCCTTGCCAGAATTGACAGTCAGTTTTCAGATTTTAGCCATTTTAATAGGTATGTAGTAGAGTCTAGTTTTTGTTTTAACTTCAGTTCACTAATGACAGATGAGCATCTTTTCTTGTGCTTATATATCGTATCTCTATCTTCTTTGATGAAACGTCTGTTCAGATCTTTGACTCCTTTTTAAATTGGTCTGTTATCTTCTTGTTGAGTTTTAAGTGTTCTTCATATATTTTAGATACAAGTCCTTTAATCTGATATGTAACATGGCAAACAGGACTTGCATATTTGTGCACTACGATGAAATGAGATGATGGGTGGATGAGTCAGTTACGACTTTATATTTCCGGCCTGGGTCTCTGGGAAAATGAAGAGTACTGGTCACAGAGAGAATAGAGCTGAGAGTTGAAATTACTTTGGGAGGAAGTGGGACAGATATGACTCATTTAGGTTTGAGTCAAGATGGAAGAATATCTGAGGACTGGAGATCAAAAGTATATTGCTATTTCTGATTCAGATATTGCTGCCATCATTATAGATTACTAAAGAGAAAGCAGAGGTAAAGAGCAAAATGGAATTTAGGGTAAGAACAGTACAGTGTTGTATTGCAAAAGTGATGAAGTTTTAAGACGGGATCCAATGTCAGCTATGCACCGCTATGAAAGACTGAAGGACATGGTTGAAGGGAAGGTGAAATCCGCATTGTCTGTCTTCCTGAGGTCAAGGCAGCTATTAGTTACTTCAGTATCCCGTGCGTTTCGTTTCTGAGGACGGTCATCTACTCTGTCAGGAGCACTCTCTTACTTTACTCAGGCTTTCATCTTCAGCACCTTCTAGAATTTCTCAAATGGAATTTTACATCACTGGAGCTCTTCTGCCATGTGAGCACAGACAGGGGTCTTATTTTTCTTTTATCTAATACAACTATGTAATTGTATATCCTTATCTGTCTGTAGTTTACATTGATTGTGGAAGTAATGAATTCATTGAAAAAAAATTATTTGCCTTCTCAACTGTACCATTCTGTTGAGGAATCGTAACAGTTGTGACTCTAGTCCCCAGCAGAATTAATTAACACATGTTAATTCTGTGGCTTGTCTGGTGGTGGGAACGTGCAGCCTGTTCCCTGGAGTCGTAAAGATATGCTTCCTTTTCTTCTTTTCTGTCTCTGAAAGGACAGATTTTCTACCTCCTCTTTTACCTGACTATCCCGAAGGATGGTAGTAATTGACTGAATAATTCACAGAGGGGATATAATAGTAAAAATAATTGCCATCACAGAGTAATTATTATTGATCGCCTGTTGGTGATTTGGAGTTGTTCAGTGAATGGCATGCCAATGTGAGCACTAATTTCAAAACATATAATATTATATGTTCAATAGGAAAATATGTCACAGTACTTTGTTTGAAACTCCTATGTATATTCAACAGTTGTTACTAGACCAAAAAGTTATTTCAGTGAAACTGACTACATACATGGAATACCAAGGAACGAATGTTGGTTGCTTGGAGCTGAGTACTAATTATATCATTGGGTTCAGTGCCCCTGAAAGAAAGAATTTGTGCTGTAAACAATGAAAGATAAGAATCTATTCAGTAAACATTGCTTTAGCACCTAAAATGTACCAGCACCTCATTTTCCTATTTGCTTATCTGGCTAAGAGTTTCACTTACCTCGTGAGTTGAAGCCATGGTGACTATTTACAGGAAGATCTAACTACTTTGTAGAGCTTGCCTCTACCCCACTGCAGTGCACCATTGGCTCCAGGACAGCACTGGGATTTGCTCTTGGAAAACAGCTGTGTCACATGATACAACATCCGCAGTTCAAAATTGCTAAAGGTTTAAACTTTGTTGCTCTTTTTTTCATAGTGGCAAAATAACATAATATTAATTTTGCCATTTTAACCGTTTCAAGTGTATAATTTAGTGGCAGTAATTAAACTCACAACATGTACTGTAACCATTACCTCTGTCCACTTCTAAAACTTGGCTTTCACCCAGAACAGAATTTTGTACCTAATAAGTCATGATTCCCCATGCTCCCCTCCCTCAGCTCCTCATAAGTCCTAAATCTACTGTCTCTACGAGGTTGCCTGTTCTAGATATTTCATGTAAGTGGAATCATGCAATAATTGTCCTTTGTGTCTGGCCTTTTTCACTTGCCATATTGTTTTCAAGGTTCCTCTGTGTTGTAACGTGTATCTCTGAACTTAGTCCTTTTCATAAGTGAATAATATTTCATTGTGTGTATATACATCTTTACATTCGTTTTAAATCTTAAATCAATCTTAGCATAATGTGTCATTTTTCTGTATTTCTGATGCTTATGAAGGTGTCATCTAGATTAATTTTATTTTTTCTAATTCTTTTACAGGTTTGACAGATGAAAAAGTGAAGGCGTATCTTTCTCTCCATCCCCAGGTGTTAGACGAGTTTGTATCTGAAAGTGTTAGTGCAGAGACTGTAGAAAAATGGCTGAAGAGGAAAAACAACAAACCAGAAGGTAAGATCTCACTCAATTTGAGTGCAGGTCATTTTCTAGTTTATAGTGACAAGAAAACTAATGGAAAGTAACATACAAAGTTGATAAAATTAGCATTTTAATTCTGTAAAAGTTTTATTCTGTTTAAAAAGATAAAGTAAGTTAGAATGAGGGGAAATAAATAAGATACTTGACTCAAAAAAACTTGCAAAGAACTCTTGAAAAAGTAGACATGACCATATTGAAAAATTCAGTCAGTATTAGACTTGATTTTATTTAATGGTTGTTATTAATGATTATACAAGGGTTCTTTATATTTCAGAAATATATTTATATTACTACATTTTGCAAATGAAGTCTTTAAACAATTTTTTTGTTGACACCGTAGGTAAAGAACTGCTGACTTTGTGTTAGATGTTTTGTTCACGCTTGAACTTAAGATGCTGTTATATTTATAAAAAAGAAATGTAGGCTTAAAGGGGATATGAAGTGAAATAAATTTCCCCCCAAGTTGAATATGTATTAATACATTGGGTTTGATTGGATATGAATGGTGTAGTATAATTTTAATTTTAAATGAACTTATATTCGGCTAAGTAGGACTTCTTATTTCTATGAATGTTCTTATAGTAGAAATTTATGTTGCATGATTTTAACTATACGAAGAACTTTAATGTTAAAAACAAAAATACATGCTGTTTTTCTGGAAATTTATTTAGTATAACAAAATGCTATAAAGTTTAAAAATGTCAGTAGTTTAAAAATGATCACTATTAAAATTTTATGCTGTTAGAACCATGGTACTAGTATGCTGCTTGGAGCGGATTTTCTTCCACTTTTCAAAGTTTCTGTGATTTTGTGACATAATTTTTATATTAAAGAGATAAACCTTTCCAGGAGAGAGCTTTTGGCATCAAAGCACAAATCAGATTTTAATGTACATGTAGGGATACCTGGGTGGCTCAGCTGGTTAGACGTCCGACTCTCGATCTCATCTCGGGTCTTGATCTCAGGGTCGTGTGTTTGAGCCCCGCACTGGGCTTCTTACACCCACTTAAAATAAAGTACATGTGCATGAGTGTGTGTGTGTGTGTGTGTGTGTGTGTGTGTGTGTGTGTATGCGCACGTGTGTATGGATTGAGGTGGTGGAAGGGAGAAGGAGAGAGAAATATAAATAGGCCAGAGAGACGTATTCTTTTCTAAACAACCATCATGTTTGGTATTAAACACCGAGCTTGACATGGCATCTCTCAGCTATTGCAGTCCTCAAACATTTTAGAACAATCTGAGACATTTGACACTTTCCAAAGTATGACTGTGTTGTGCCTGAGGCACATCGCGTGAAGATGCGCGTGTCAGCTTGCTGGATAATGACGGATAATCATGTGCTGTCGGACCGCATGGTATTTGGGAGATAGGGAACTGTGAATGGGTCCTAGAAAACGAACAGTTTCACATACTGTTTTAGTGTTATAATGACAGTTAACTCTTAGATTTTTTTATAAATGTTTGAATGTGTCATTCCTTATCTTTCAAATCTGTTTTCTATGTTAGTTACTCAAATAACACCTTCAACTGTTGAGTACATACACTCAGAAGCTACGTGATTATTGAGGATAGCAGAGTGTAACTGAAGCAATGCTCGGTTATCCAGATAAAGTTTGTCATGGGAGGGACATGATCTTGCTGGTGGCTCCGAGGGGGGCTGCAGACTATGGTTGGCATCAGGAATGAAGAGATGTTGAATGAGGTGTGACTTGGGGCTTCCCATCTAGTCGTGCGGACGCAGTGGAACCCATCCTCTGTGCCCAAGGATGCAGGCACCTTACAGGGGAGGTGCAGACAGGAGTCTTTCATTCTTGTGCTACGGCCTGGGAGGACCCTCCCACCCCTTGCTCCCCCGGAGTTTGTCACGAGCATGTGTCTCAATACGCCCACTTTGTTATGTTTGGTGCGATTCTGTAGTGCAGCCCTGGCAGACGCGCAGGAATGAGGTGCGGCACAAGTCTTGTGTGAATGGCATCACCCAGTTTTCTTTGAAATACAGAAAGCCAGCTAAATATCTTTATTTAATTTATGTAATTATGGATTAAGATAGTGGTCAGTTAAAAAAGCAATTTGATTCTTTTCCCTTGCTCCCTCCTCCTCAGTGTGTTTTAAAATTTTGTGTTCTCAACTAGGCCTGATTCTCTTTGCAAATTGCTTCATTGAAAATGTTTTGCAGAAGGACATTTTTGTGGACAGGGTTCTTGGAACTGTTTCCATCTCCCTGGTGGACCCAGGAACAAAGTGTGACAGTTAGAAGTTCTGGGACAATAGTTAGTTGGAAATGAGTGGGACAGGCCTATCAAGATTATTTCATTTTGTGTCAGTTTAGTAAAAGAAAATGAACCAAGGAAAAGCACAGTGCTTTATACACTGTAAGTACTCACTGAATGCATATTTTATTTATTTTTTAATCACTGATAAACCAGCCTCATGTGGAAATGATCTATAATGTGGGAGAAAGCATGTAAAGGTGTATTCTGTTTAGAGAAAGATTATGTTTGAAAAGTCAGATTTTTTTAAACAAATGACTAAGATGATTATTTATGTTACAAAATTAGGTTTGCTTTTAAAATGGCCAGCTTTCATACTGCTTGCAAGTAAATCTTTTAATGATGACTTCATACTGTTTAAATAGCTAGTTTTTCTTCATTCATTTAGATTTTTTATTGAGCACCTACTCGCTTAGTGCACAGAGGCAAATGCTGAAGAGATGGAGAATGTGTGGCGTATTTTAGTTAAAATGTGGCAATGTTTACAACGCATCAGTACTGTGTGACCATAGAACAGTTGTCATTTCCAAGGAATTTCACATATATTGACCCTTTACATCTGATGATGACAAGTGAAGACTAGGGAGCCGAGTTCATTTGCACCAAGGGGAGCTGAAGGATTGCTGGAGGTCCAGCATCTAGTTGTTCGAAGTCCCCATACAGCAACTCCGTGGCTGTGTTTGTATCCCTTACCAGCAGCACGCCGGATGTGTGGCGGCGGGGTGGAGGGAAGGTGTCTATAAACATTTTTGAGTGAACAAATAAACAAACGAAGGAAGGTTGGATTGTCAACCTCCAGGTGAACCTCTGTTTGTCACTGTCCTGGGTTTTCATATCATGCCCGATACCAGAACTACTCGTACGCTCTTACTGTCTCCCCACTACTCATTTAAAAGCTTCATGAGGGAAGGGATTATGTAATACATATTTTTAAATCCCTCACAGTACCTTGTCTTTTCACTTACCCGGCAAACTATGTGTGAAGCGCGGTTGAGGCACTAGATGGTTACGTTGCTGAGGAGCTTGCAGTTGAACAAATAGAAGAAAAGACTAGTAAGTTTTTGCTTCTTTCTAGTGAGTCTGGTGGTGAGGTTGAGCGTGGTCCAGGCTGGAATCTCGGAGCCATAGTGGGCTGTGGGGGATCCACATCACAGTTGACCACTCTGCATCGTGTTGACAGAGAAAGGGGTTGGGGAAAGATGATCCACCACATGTCTTCAGAGATTTAAATTTCTGCAGTCTTTACTGTTACTGTTTTTGGCTTAATTTTATTGCTTGTATACTGCTTGCACTTTAAACACATGAAGTTCTACCTGTGGTTGCAAGGCAAATTGCCTTTTGAAGGTGGACCTCTGATCCTGAATTCTAAACAATTGATTTTCAAGTGAGGTTTGTGAATTGGAGGTAGCGCTTGTTTCTTTTGTGACCTGATGTTCTCTTTTAGAGAACGTGTAAATATTCCCTGGAAGGGTTGTGGTCACATTCACAGCCATACTTCCATTTGGGGAAAACCTCAGGATGAAAAAAATTGTCTAGGTCATGAATTGTTCTAGTAAGTTTTATATTTTATGTTGATTTTTATGCAAGCTACATTTGACAGGCCCAGCTGGTACTCATCAAGGCTCAGATTACTAAGCTATTTAACATCTACACAAGTATTAAGGTATAAATATAAAATTAATAAATAAATATTAGGAGGTGATGAATGATGTAGTAACATTCTAAGATGGAATAGAGTTTTACATCCCTAACACCATTTCAGTATTTCAGTTATGTTCAGGAAGAAACATGAATTACCTTGACTATCAGCCATGTCCCCTTTTGGCTTCTAATGTAAAAAACTGTTAGTTGACAATGGTGGTAATATCAGAAGGGGTGCATGAAGAAGTGAGAACACTGGAAGTCATATGACTATATTTGGCATCTTCTCATATTAGAATAATATTTAAATTACATGGATTTTGTTTAAAAATCCCCCAAATGCTGGACAAAATGACAAGGCAGAAAAACTCACCACAAAAAAAAAGAACAAGAAACAGTACCGAAGGCTAGGGACCTAATCAGTACGGACATTGGTAATATGTCAGATCTAGAGTTCAGAATGACGATTCTCAAGGTTCTAGCCAGGCTCGAAAAAGGCACGGAAGATTAGAGAAACCCTCTCCAGAGAAATAAAATCACTTTCTGGAGAAGTACAATCTAACCAAGTTGAAATTAAAAAAAGCTATTAATAAGGTACAATAAAAAATGGAGGCTCTTACTGCTAGGATAATGAGGCAGAAGAGAGAATAAGTGATATAGAAGACCAAATAACAGAGAATAAAGAAGCTGAGCAAAAGAGAGACAAACAACTACTGGACCACAAGGGGAGAATTCAGGAGATTTCGAGAGGTAAGTGATACCATAAGATGAAACAACATTAGAATAATTGGGATTTCAGAAGAAGAAGAGAGAGAGAGGGGAGCAGAAGGAATATTGGAGAGAATTATTGGAGAGAATTTCCCTAATATGGCAAAGGGAACAAGCATCAAAATCCAGGAGGTGCAGAGAACCTCCCTCAAGATCAATATCCACACCCCGTCATCTAATAGTAAAATTTACAAGTCTTAGCGACAAAGAGAAAATCCTGAAGTCATCCCGGGACAAAAAGTCTGTAACATACAATGGTAAAAATATTAGATTGGTAGCGGACTTATCCACAGA